TCAATTAGTTGATAAAAAGTTTAATTTCGGATTGGTTAATTTATTTTCATATTAACTTGAATAAACTAAATTGAATTGTAACAAATTTGAAAAAAAAAAACATAAGTTGATGTAAATTAAGTTTACTAATCGGATGACCGAATTATATATATCCAAACTTGGTATAATCCATTCGTCTATAGAGTGGTAATTATAATTTTCTTAGGTTTTTTTATTGGAATAATTTGATGGGTGCGATTATGTTGTTTTTGTTGGGAGAAGTTTTGATATTATGGGTATGCCGTTGGTAGAAGATTACGGTGAACTTTGAGATCTCTAGCAACCGATCTTCATATGCATAGTCTTTTACTAGTTGTTGAATTCCATTGTTTTTAATGTGCATATCATTGTCTTAAAACTCTTGAATCTGGACAGTTGCCAAGTAAATATTTTGTAGGAATGGAAAGCCGACGATCATTGTCGGCGACACCGCATATAATTTGATAACCTGAGAGTGGTCATATTAAGGAACTTAAAAATATTCGAAAGTTTTATAGACGACCAAAAACTGATGAAACACAAATTTTTTAGAGATCAAAGCGCTGTTTTTCGAACAACGATTGCATCCAACTATTTACTTTCAGAGAGTATCAAAAACTGACAACAAATTATGTAATGTGCAAGTGGCCCTTGATGATGTTAAAGTGTGTGGGCAGGGCCGGACCTAAACATAGGCAAGAGGAATATGGGTTTTGGGTCCTAATTTTTTTCTGAATTTTCATTATTAAAAAAGGTTCATGATTTATTTATTTTTGCAGAAACATGCTCCCGATTTGTTTTGTTTTGCAGAAATAGGTATTTGTTTTATTTTTGTTTGCACAAATAAACCCCTAAATTTTTAAAATTTAAACATTTGTTATCTTTTTAAAATATCGATCTATAGGACCCCTGAAATCTTAAGACCGGTACAAATATCAAAGACTATATTGCCAGTGATAGTTTCATCGATTTTTTTTATCACCGCACTCATCATCAAAGCTTGGAACTGTTAAGTTCTTCTACTTGTGTATCATTTCGTTATAGAATACACGAGTTCTTTCTACATCTCGAATAAACAGTAAACATATAAGATATGAAATTCAAGTATAATTTGTTTTTTTCCAATTTATTTGTATTTCTTCACTATAATTTTATACTTAAGCAATTAATTAAATGTGTATTTAATCTCCCTTTTAAGAAAATAAAAGATTCCAATTTCATTTTATTCTCAAAAAGATAATATGTACGGATAAACATTGGTATATACATATTTCAAGCCAACCATGGACGAAAACGACATTTGAATCGATT